GCTGAGGCCATTCTCATGAGGAAAAGCGAGTGCTCTTTCTCTGTGATTTGCCAAAGTAATTTTTTGTACCTTGGAATGAGCCATATTTTAAATTTGGTTTTTAATGTTACAAAATGTACTCTCATAACAATTCAAACAATACAGAAAAATAAGAATTCTTTTCAGCCCTTTTGTGCCATAATTACACCCTCCACCTTTTTTTCCTTTTCAGTTAGTAATGTGTCTTTAACATGTGCTCATGTCAGGAGTTAAATGTTTATTCATTTTATGTTTGTAACAGTCCATACCGAGGATACAACATATTTAGTCAACCATTCCCCATTGATGGATTTCATTTTGTGTCTGTTACTTGCACAGTTTGTACTGAGAGGCGCATTCCCATGCATGGCCCCTGGTACCTTCTTTGGTTTCTGTAGGCTAGATACCCCCTAAATGGGAAATCGATGCTGGTAGTGGGTCACAGGATATGCATATGTAACACTTAACTTTCAATAGTTATTGACAGATCAGTTCCCAGAAAGTTACAGCAATTGACATTCCTGAAGCTATGAAGGGAAGGACCCTTTGCTCCCCTGTCTGCCACACTGACCGCTGAGTGGGGGGTGCCGTGTCCTGCTGGCATTGCGTGCTGCCCTTTGTGGACTGTGGACCGTTGACACTGCCTCTTCTGGAAGTTTTCCATTGTGTTCCCCATTTCCTGGAGAGGTTTTCTTTTCTTTTCTCTTATTTTTTGAGATGGAGTCTCGCCCTGTCACCCAGGCTGGAGTGCAGTGGTGCAATCTCAGCTCACTGCAACCTACCCCTCCTGGGTTCAAGTGATTCTCCCACCTCATCCTCCCAAGTAGCTGGCATTACAGGCACGCGTCAGCACGCCCAGCTAATTTTTGTATTTTTAGTAGAGACAGGGTTTTGCCATGTTGGCCAGGCTGGTCTCGAACTCCTGACCTCAAGTGATCCACTTACCTTGGCCTCCCAAAGTGCTGGGATTAGAGGCCTGAGCCACCACGCCCAGCCAGTGATACACACTTTTAAATGACTATGTCTCGTGAGAACTCACTGTTGTGACCAAAGGGATGATGTAACACCAGGAGAAACTGCCCCATGATCCAGCCACCTCCCTTCAGCCCCTTTTCCTCCCTCACAGGACTACAGTTCAACATGAGATTCGGTGGGGACACAGACCCAAACCATGTTACATCCCTTCCTTATTCTGTCATAGAGGAAAGGCTTTCAGTCTTTTACCATTGAGTATCATGTTAGCTGTTGCTTAGCCACTGATACTTTTTTTTTTTTCCCCTTTTTTGAGATGGAGTCTTGCTCTGTCACCCAGGCTGAAGTGCAGTGGTGTGATCTCTGCTCACTGCAACCTCTGCCTCTCTGCAACCTCCGCCTCCTGGGTTCAAGCAATTCTCCTGCCTCAGCCTCCCAAGTAGCTGGGATTATAGGTGCCCACTACCACACCCAGCTAATTTTTGTTTTTTTAGTAGAGATGGGTTTTCACCATATTGTTCAGGCTGGTCTCAAACTCCTGACCTCAGGTGATCTGCCTGCCTCGGCTTCCCTAAGTGCTGGATTGCAGGCGTGAGTCACTGCGCCTGGCTGCCCCTGATACACTATCAGGTTGAGGAAGTTTTCTTCTTCTTCTTCCCAAGTTTTCTGTACAGAACCAGACCTTCACCTTGGATCTGCTTCCTTATTCCTAGAGTATGTCCTTTAACATTTCTTGTACTGCATATCTACTGGTGGTGAATTCTTTCAGTTTTGTACGTTTGGGAAAAAATTAGTTTGTTTTTTATCCTTTTTTTTTTTTTTTTTTTTTTGTTTTTGAGATGGAGTCTCACTCAGGCTGGAGTACAGAGGCCTGATCTCAGCTCACTGCAACCTCTACCTCCCAGGGGTTTGAGCAATTCTCCTGCCTCAACCTCCCGAGTAGCTGGGATTATAGCGTGTGCCACCACGCTCGGCTAATTTTTGTATTTTCAGTAGAGAAGGGCTTCTGCCATGTTGGCCAGGCTGGTCTCGAACTCCTGACCTCAAGTGATCCGCCTGCTTTGGCCTCGCAAATGCTGGGATTACAGGCATGAGCCACCGTACGTTGGTGTTTTTCGTCTTTTGTCTTTGTTTTTGAAAGTTGTCTTAGGTGAGTATAGAATTATTGATTAACAGTTGTTTTTTTGGCTTAGTGGCCCCCAGGCCTCTACCCACTAGATGCTAGCCGTGCTCCCACCCTTCTCAGTGTAACAACCAAAAATGCCTCCAGACGTTGCCTGGTGTCTGCTGGGGGCACAGTCTTCCCAAGTAGAGAGCCACTGATCTGTCTTAGAAAGAGACTAGCGTCATTGCATTTCCGTAGGAAAGGTGCTCTGAGTTAGAAACAGGTACAAATAAATCGTTGCCTTGTGTCCTCTGCGCATCCTCTAATTATTATTTTACCTGAGTACGGTCCCTCTTGTAGGGCTGTTGGCCTACAGGGTTGCAGGGTGTCCCTTATGCTGTGCTGAGGTGCAGGATCTGAGAAGTAAAGAGACAGGACGCTGAAGAACTGGAGAAGAGCAGCTGGACTCGGGGGACCACGCCACTTAGGAGCAGGGACAGGCGAGGCCCCAAATGCACAGAAGCATCTGCATTTATTAGGTACAAGCAGGGAGAAGGGTCGAAAGTGAGGTCATCATCTATAGGCTTAGTGATAGGGCATAATAATCCCGTGAGTCACAAGCCAGGGGGCCACCCCATTATGTCACCTGGGCAGAGAGGTGGGCCGTGTGCAGTAGGGGGCCGTCTACAGAAAAGGGGTCCACCCCCATTAGGTCACCGAGGCAAGGAGGTGGGCTGTGTGCAGCAGGTGTCGTGCACAACACTTCTTATCTGAGGGCTGGAGACTTCAAAGGATCTCTAACAGAAGGTTACTGTAAGCCAATGCAGTGGGAGCTGACAGACGTGTGCTCTTCTCTTAAGATATTTATGGGAGGTGATTTGAGCTAGCACAGAAGGGAGAAAAGACTGACAGGGTGTACAGCCGCTGTGACTGGTCACACCAGAGGGGTTCTTCTCCCTCGGTTATTTGCGGGATCTCAGGCCTGATGCCGACTTTCTACAGGAACTGGATGCGAGGTGCTACAGCTCCTCTATCAGGAGGAGAGGCTCTTGCTCCAAGCCTGCCATACGGCGTATGCCCTTTCAGGCAGGGACGCCACCGCCTGGGTCTCTGGTTCTCGTCCTGGTCTGGCTGTTTTCCCATGTACTGCTTCTGTTCTGTGACTGCTCTAGGCAGTCCTCCTACTACAGACTACTATGTGGTTCTGTGGAAGGATTGTATAAATGAGCAGTGAATGTGTTGGTACAGCTCTGACTACATCCATTATATGATCATATAGAAAGATGATATGGGACTGTGTATGATTATATATATAAGCTAGATGTAGTAAGCAGTGAGTTATATGATTATATGGAAAGATTATATGGGACTAAGTATGATTGTATATGTAAACTAGATACAGTAAGCAGTGAGTTATATGATTATATAGAAAGATTATATGGGATTAAGTATGATTATATGTATAAGCCAGATATAAGTAAGCAGTGAGTTATACTTCAGGCACTAATTGTGCCTGGGGTCTGCACAGTTCTCCTTCCTCAGTGCCTCTGGGGGGATTTTACCCGCACCTCATGTGCAAACTTTGCATACCTGGAAGAAGAGTTTACTAGTAAAGAAAATCACTTTTTAAAAAGATGGCTTTTTTTCCCTGTGGATATAAAAATACCACATAGTAATTATAGAACATTTAGAAAGTACAAAAAAGTATAAAAAGGGAAAAAATAATTATCATCCACCTAACCCAGAGACCACCACCTGTGGACACATTTTGAGTCTTTTTATTAAATCTTTAAAATTATATAATTTTGTATCTTGAATTTTCCGTTTAAAATCGAACATAAACAGTGTATTTATCAAGCACTTTTTTTTTGAGACGGAGTCTTGCTCTGTTGCCAGGCTGGAGTGCAGTGGCGTGATCTCTGCTCACTGCAATCCTCACCTCCCAGTTCAAGGGATTCTCCTGCCTCCGTCTCCTGAGAAGCTGGGATTTCAGGTGTGTGCTACCACGCCCGGCTAATTTTTTTGTATATTTAGTAGAGACGGGGTTTCACCATGTTGGTCAGGTTGGTCTGGAATTCCTGACCTTGTGATCCGCCTGCCTTGGCCTCCCAGAGTGTTGGGATTACAGGCGTGAGCCACGGCATCTGGCCACATCAAGCACTCTTGATAATGAATGGTTTTGCTGGCGGATGTGGCCCCATGCTTGCTGGGCTCGCCACACTTGTGCTTGGACGTGAGCTTGCACCGTTGTTCATGTAGGCTCTGTCTTCGGAGTCCTTGAGCATCAGGCGTTAGGAGAGGTGGCTTCTGTAGTGGCTGGTATCTTTGCAGCTTTTTGAATGTTTGCCTTGAATTTCTATGGTGGTTATGATGGAAAAGACATCAGGTCTGAGCCATGCATAAAATACATTTGTTTATAATACATGTACTTCATTAAAAAACACGTGGCAGGTGGGAGCTGGACTCACCTCCCCGCTGCCCTGGAGTCAGGTCCACTCTGTGCCTGCGTTTCCAGCCTGTCTCTGGAATGACTACTTCTCAAATGGATTCCCTTTGCCTTTTTCTACCAGGCAGTATGAACTGAGTCTTTCAGGACAGATTGAATCCTGAAAACCATCAATAAACGTTCAATCTTCACACAGGATCAAATCCGTGGCACTGATGAGGTTTTAGCACTGGGGTGGATAGTGTCCAAGTCTCAGATTCAGGGGCAGGCTCAGGTCCTGTCCGGAATGTTGGCCTGTAGTGACGCCCGTGGGCCTCAGAGCCTGTGTGCCTGGAGCTGGACAATGGCACCACCACTTGGTAGTGTGAGCCAGGCAGCCCCTTGCTCATTGCCTCAGTTTCTCTCTGTGTCAATGAACTGTCAGAGTGACTTAGCAGCATTGCTGTGAAAACTAAATGAGACCAGATAGGGGGCGTTGATAACTGGCCTTGGTGACCCTGAGCCACCGTCTGCCTCCGTCTGTGATCCCGCTGTGCCACACTGCTCTCCCCTCCCGCCGTCCCATGCTCTCCAGTCTCGGCACTGTCAGCCGCTCGCAGTAGGGCTGGATTAGGCAGGTGTTAGTACTTCAGTTCATCACAAGTGATGACAAGCATCCCTGACCATCTCTGACTGAGCAGATACTCTGATCTGAGCCCTTCCTGCCCTGGGTAGCAGTTTGGTGCCTGGGTTTGCTGGGCCTGCATTTCCAGACATGCGTGCAGGCTCTGAAAGGCGCCCAGGCATGGAGCTCGCCTCACTCAACTCTAACTTTCTGCATTTGTTTAGGGAGCGCTTTCTGAAGACGTGGCCATGCAGCATGTCAGCAGCTCCCAGAGCAGCCAACGCCACGTCCAGTGGCCCAGGGCCTGCCCCGGCGTGGGCAAGGAGCCGCCAGCTTGTTCCCAGCTGCCCCCACCCCTCACGCTGCCATCCCCCGGCTACCATCTGCAGCCACTGATGGTGAGGGGGGCCCTGTGGATGGGCAGAACATGAATGTCACCCTGCAGGGCGTGGGCCCTGGGCTTGAGGGAAACCCACAGGTCACACTGGCCCCACTCCGCTCCCCAGCCCCACCTCTCCAGGCTTCCAGTTCAGCACTCAGCCTCAGCGGTTTGAGCACGGGTCTCCGTCATACATTCAGGTCACGTCCCCCCTGTCCCAGCAGGTCCAGACCCAGAGCCCCACGCAGCCCAGCCCTGGGCCGGGGCAGGCCCTGCAGAATGTGCGTGCAGGTGCCCCTGGCCCCGGGCTGGGTCTCTGCAGCAGCAGCCCCAGTGGGGGCTTCGTGGATGCCAGCGTACTGGTGAGGCAGATCAGCTTGAGCCCATCCAGTGGTGGACACTTTGTGTTTCAGGATGGGTCAGGACTCACCCAGATCGCCCAGGGGGCCCAGGTTCAGCTCCAGCACGCGGGCACACCCATCACGGTCCGAGAGCGGAGACTCTCCCAGCCCCACACACAGTCAGGGGGCACCATCCACCACCTGGGACCCCAGAGCCCTGCGGCTGCCGGTGGGGCCGGCCTGCAGCCCCTGGCCAGCCCAAGCCACATCACCACGGCCAACCTGCCACCTCAGATCAGCAGCATCATCCAGGGCCAGCTGGTCCAGCAGCAGCAGGTGCTGCAGGGGCCGCCGCTGCCCCGATCCCTGGGCTTCGAGAGGACGCCCAGCGTACTGCTGCCTGGGGCTGGGGGCGCAGCGGGGTTTGGGATGACCTCCCCACCCCCGCCCACCAGCCCTTCCAGGACTGCCGTGCCCCCAGGCCTTTCCAGCCTGCCACTCACGTCTGCGGGGAACATGGGAGTGAAGAAGGCTCCCAAGAAGTTAGAGGAGATTCCCCCAGCCTCTCCGGAGATGGCACAGATGAGGAAGCAGTGCCTGGACTATCATTACCAGGAGATGCAGGCTCTGAAGGAGGTCTTCAAGGAGTATTTGATTGAACTGTTTTTCTTGCAACATTTTCAAGGGAATATGATGGATTTCTCAGCTTTCAAGAAGAAACATTATGCCCCATTACAAGCGTATCTTAGGCAGAATGATTTGGACATTGAAGAAGAGGAGGAGGAGGAGCAGGAGCACTCCAAAGTCATTGATGGCGAGGTAACAGTTCTGTGTTTTGGTACTTGTCATGGGAAGCAGCGCTCAGCGCTTCTGCTGCCTGCAGGCTCAATGCAGGCCTTACCATCTTAGAGCATGCGTTCTAGGCACTTCACTGTTAAAACACACTGTGGCCGTGATCTTGATAGTGATTTTAAGGTGCTCAGAGGCCCCACATTTACAGACGGTGGTGCTGGGGATCCCAGCGCACAGCTGAACCCCCGGCAGCTCCCCTCTCTCCAGTGCTGTTTCAGTCAGGCACCTCTGTGGCAGGTGCTCATGGGAGCAGCATCCTGGCACCTTTTTGGAATGCCACCACATTTGCCTGCTCCCAAACGGTTGTGCCGGGCAAGGTGAGAACGCCCACAGTCCACACTTGCCAGCCGCCTGCGGTCAAGGCTAGCTGGGCCCAAAGCCAGGGTTCCAAGCTTCCTAAACACACATCTCGATGTCAGAGTTTCTCAGCAAGTTATAGCTCTGACTTAGACTCAGAATATAGAGAGCAAAAATTTATAGAATTTATTTATTTATTTATTTTTTTGTGACAAAATCTCGCTCTGTCGCCCAGGCTAGAGGGCAATGGTTCCATCTCAGCTCACTGCAACCTCCGCCTCCAGGCTTCAAGCAATTCTCATGCCTCAGCCTCTCTAGTAGATGGGGCTACCGGCAAGCGCCACCAGGCCTGGCTAATGTTTTTGTATTTTTAGTAGAGATGGGGTTTCACCGTGTTGGCCAGGCTTGTCTCTTAACTCCTGGCCTCAAGTGATCCACCCTCCTTGGCCTCCCAAAGTGCTGGGATCACAAGCATGAGCTGCCATGTGTGGCCTATTTATAGAATTTCAAGGGAGCAGTTCTTTTTTTTTTTTTTTTTTTTGAGATGGAGTCTTGCACTGTCACCCGGGCTGGAGTACAGTGGCGTGATCTCAGCTCACTGCAACCTCCGCCTCCCGGCTTCAAGCAATTCTCATGCCTCAGCCTCTCTAATAGGTGGAGCTACAGGCAAGCCAGGGCCCGGCTAATGTTATTGTATTTTTAGTAGAGATGGGGTTTCACTATGTTGGCCAGGCTGGTCTCGAATGCCTGACCTCGTGATCCACTCAGTTTGGCCTCCCAGGGAGCAGTTCTTAAATCCACAATCACATGAGGAGATATTCGCTTTTTTCTCAGAAAACAATAAGTAAATAAATAAATTGTAAGTATGTAGAACATGTGAAGTACTCAAATTAACAATATAAATGAGCCTGTTTAACTGTATAACACACTTGTATGCGTATATGTGTGTAAAAACTTTCAACAAAGAGATAATTTTTTTTAGAGTATACATGGAGACTATTTATAAAGGGAAACCTCAATAAAATTTCAAAAATCAATTTTATAGCCAGGTGCAGTGGCTCCCGCCTGTAATCCCAGCACTTTGGGAGACCGAGGCAGGTGGATCACCTGAGGTCAGGAGTTGGAGAGCAGCCTGGCCAACATGGTGAAACCCCGTCTCTACTGAAAATACAAAAAAATTAGCTGGGTGTGGTGGCAGGCACCTGTAATCCCAGCTACTTCAAGAGGTCGAGGCAGGAAAATTGCTTGAACCTAGGAGGCAGAGGTTGCAGTGAGCCGAGATCGTACCATTGCACTCTAGCCTGGGTGACAAGAGTGAAACTCTGTCTCAAAAAAAAAAAATCAATTTCATATGAACTGTCCTCTCCCTATAATGCAGTAAAGTGAGAAACCAGTTAAACATGTACTGTATTTGGAAACCGGGAAGCTTGCCCGTAAGTATCCATAGGTTGAGGAGAATATCTTCGTAGGGCACCACGAACCGTGCCGCGGCCTGCCGGTCTCGTGGGGTCCGCCGACGCTCTGCTTAGAAAGCTCCTTAAACAGGAAATACTGAAGATAAGCAACCTAACAGCTTTGATAGTCACATGAAGAGTATGTTAACTGTTGTGTTAAAGTTTACTTCTAGATGATAGAAATAAGTCTTTGTAGAATCTGACTAGCATCTTAGGAACTTGTTTGATCATCATTTTATAGGAAAATACTGGAAGTTTACTAACATTGTGGTTTTCCGTGAATGCTTTCCTCTGTGTAATGTTGTTCACGTTCCAGCTGCTCGTGGTGTGTTTTAGCTCCACTTTGCTGACATGATCCCGTTATCAGACTTCATTAGAGCTATGAACTCTGTGGGCCCAGTCAGCATTGAATTCATCCAAATTATTCCAACAAATTAGGTAAATTTGCCTGTGGGGTTTTTACTTGAGGAATTGGTGCAAGTGAAAAACACACTTTTTAAGCCTTTGAACAAATTATGTTTATATACATTTGAAACCTTGATAATCATTACATCGAATTTTCAGGAAATTTTCAGAAATATTTAGAAGTCAGTGTAAACTGACATTGATGTGTTGATGCCTTGTTTTCATATTTTAGTATCTTTAAAATGTTGCTTCTCAGTATACTAGAATCTTCCTGTTGACACCTTCGTGTATTTGTAGTTAATATATCAGAAAGTGTGAGATCAAGAGAATGGTGCTTCCATATCCCTTTATTGTTTTTTTAATTTATTTTTTATTTTTTTGAGACGGAATTTCACTATTGTCAAACCAGGCTGGGGTGCAATGGTGTGATCTCAGCTCACTGCAGCCTCCGCCTCTGGGTTCAAGCAATTCTCCTGCTTCAGCCTCTCAAGTAGCTGGGACTACATGCACCTGCCACGCCCGGCTAATTTTTGTATTTTTAGTAGAGACAGGGTTTCACCTTGTTGGTCAGGCTGCTCTCAAGCTCCTGACCTCGTGATCCGCCAGCCTCGGCCTCCCAACGTGCTGAGATCACAGGCATGAGCCACCTTGCCTGGCTGGTATTTGAGTTCTTCAAAAAATTTAGTTGTGGTAACATATACAGAACATAAGATTTACTGTCTATGTTATTTAATTGTTTTTAAATTGTTTATTCCAGGGTACTGATATATTAAGATTTGGTTTTGATTTTTTATGATGCTATGTGCTTGTGTATAATTAGCCTTCTGGACATATTTAGCCGGAAGAACCTGTTTCTTTTTTTTTTTTTTTTTCAGACTTGTCAGCCAGAATAAGAGCCAGCTTCTTTTTTCTTGCATTTCTCTCTGTGATTTCAAGCTGTGAAGTGCCGTTTGACTTTTGAGTTCATTTAATTCCAAGGGTATTCCCATTTGAATGCCCTGGATGCGAAGCAGTTCATGTCTCTGGAAAGCTGCTTTGCTTTGCTTACTCTACGAGGCTGTCATTACAGAGATGCAGCTTAACTTGTCTTTCTGTTTTATCAGATCAAAGTGTGTTTTTAAGAAATGCTACATTTTCAGTGGGGGTGGTTTTTGTCATTTTTCCCCCTCCTCCACCATAGCCTCCCCAGGCATCAGCAGACTCCGCCCGAAGGGCTGGCCTCCCTCTGACAGCTGCCACTGGGTTCCCGCACGTAGCTGTGTGGACACAGCCCCTGCAGCCCAACCTCGGCTACCTGCTGGCCACAGACTGAGGTTTAAAGTGGACTTAAAGCTTCAGTGCCCAGGGCCAAATTTGTTCTTTCCAGCCCTGTGAGGACTTAAATTGCATCAGCGAGCCAAGTGTCCCGTGACCGTCTGTTGGCGGCCGAGGCTGCCCGCTGCGTGGGATGTGCAGGTGGTGATCAACTGTGCGAAGTTTACATGTTACTTTCCTTCTTCCTCCCTTCCCTTTGAATGTCCTTCTCAGGTAAAAGTTGTGGCCAGAATTCACAGGCAGCCTGGCACTCCTGTGGCGACGGCAAACCAGCTTCCGCCAAGGGCTCCTGCGGCCTTTTCACCCCAGCCGCTGCCGCTCGAGGTACTTCCCAGTGGCCCCACAGTGCAGATCCCCAGACTTTCCTCACTTGGATTTGGGGACTCAATGTTATGTGGCAGAACCCAGAGGTCTCCCAAGAGCCTGTCCTCTGTTGTTAAAAATACGTCTTGAGACGTCTGTGTGAAGGCTCTTAGTTTTAATGCATGAATGCTGTTATTTTTCCCTACTGTTACTGAAATTAAAAAGTGTTTGTCTCTGATCATTGATTCTGTTAACTTTTCTGCTGGAAGGTTTTCATTTGCATTTGCTTTTCTGTTTGCATTTGTCATTGCTTCATTGCTTCTGTACGATTGTGGCCTCTTTGTCCTAGATGTTTCTCCTTTTTCCCCCCCTTCTTTGTCTGCTTTTAAACAAGTACATTTTCTAATTATTTTCTGGTTACAGGGATTTGATTTTGTTCTTTAAACATAGTTTAGGGGATGCGTAGCAAAAAACAATGATATTAAATTTCATAATACAAGGAAGTTACTGGAAGCTGCAGCTCAGTTATTACATGTCTTTTTCTTTTCTTTTTTTTTTTTTTGAAATGGACTCTTGCTGTTGTTGCCCAGGCAGGAGCACAGTGGTGCAATCTCGGCTTACCGCCACCTCTGCCTCCCGGGTTCAAGCAATTCTCCTGCCTCAGCCTCCCGAGTAGCTGGGACTACAGGCTCCTGCCACCACACCTGGCTAATTTTTTTTTTTGTATTTTTAGTAGAAACGGGGTTTCACCACGTTAACCAGGCTAGTGTTGAAGTCCTGACCTCAGATGATCCATCCCACCTTGGCCTCCCAAAGTGCTGGGATTACAGGTGCCCGCCACTGTGCCTGGCCTAATTTTTGTACTTTTAGTACAGATGGGTTTCACCATGTTGGCCAGGCTCGTCTCAAACTCCTGACCTCAGGTGATCCCCCCGTCTTAGCCTCCTAAAATGTTGGGATTACAGGCGTGAGCCACCGTGCGACATTTCTATACACTTAAAAATATGCTTTAAAAATTATGTTAAAATATGTGTAACATTTACCATTGTAACCATTTTTAAGTGTCCAGTTCAGTGGCATGAAGCACATTCGCATGGCGTGCGGCCGTCACCAGCACCCACGTCCAGGGCATTTCGTCTTCTCAAACTGAAACTCTGCCCTATGAGATGCTAACTCCCCACTCCCCTCCCCCAGCCCCAGGCAGCCGCCTCTGTACTGTCTGTCTCTGTGGACTGGAATCACTACTCGAGGGCCTCAGGTAAGAGGAATCATGGAGCATTCGTCCCTCTGTGCTGTCGTATTCAGCATGGTGTCTTCAGAGTTCATCCACGCTGGCCCCTGCAGCAGAATCGCCTTCCTTTGTAAGGCTGAATGTGTTCCGTGCTGTGGGCAGGCTGCATGTGCTCCATCTGTGGGTGGCACTTGGGTTGCTTCCACGCCGGCTGTGGTGAACCGTGCTGCCGTGAAGACGGGCGTACAGATCTCTTCGGGTTCCTGCTTTCAGTTCTCTGGGGCACATACCCAGAGTGGGGTAGCTGGGTCACAAAGTGAGTCTGCGTTTAACTTGTTTAGGGAAGTCCGCACCATTTTCATAGCAGCTGCACCATTTTACACCCCACCAGCAAGAATGAGGTTTCTTTCTCCACATCCTTGCCAACGTGTGTACATTTTTTTATAGTGGCCACCCTTATAGGTGTGCTGTATGCTTTATGATGCAATAGAAAAATATTACTGAATACGTGTGTTCGTATGGCTGAAGACATTCCGAGTTTCAGTTGGTTAGTCAGCACTGTTGATGGTTCAGAACTGACTAGTGAGGGGGGAGGCATTTGAAAGAACAACTTAACTCACAGCAACAAATGGCACTGGTGACATATGCGGAATCCTATAGGAAGAGTGTGGAGGGACAGATGGGCTGCTGGGAGCAGGGTGCAGGCTGTGGGGTGGTGCAGGGTGCTGCGCCTGTGGCCGGCAGCAGACGCAAGGACCCACACGGAAGGCAGGCTGCTCTGCCCACCCTTCCCACGTCACGTTCTTAATGGTGAGAGCGCAGGTTGAGTTCAGTGTGATTGTCCAACAAACTGGCTGTGGGCAGTGTGGGTTTTGTTTTCTCCAATTTATTTATATATTCTTTTGAGACGCCCAGGCTGGAGTGCAGTGGCGCCATCTTGGCTCACTGCAACCTCCACCTCCTGAGCTTAAGCAGTTCTCATGTCTCCACCTCCCAAGTAGCTGGGATTACAGGTGTGTACCACCACACCCGGCTAATTTTTATATTTTTAGTAGGGGGGCGGTTTCACCATGTTGGTCAGGCTGGTCTCAAACTCCTGACCTCAAGTGATCTACCTGCTCAGCCTCCCAAGTGGCTGGGATTACAGGCGTGAGCCACCATGCCTGGCTCTTTTCTCCAGTTTCTTACTGTGAAAAATTTCAATTATTGACAATTTTGAAAGAGTAGTCAGTGAATGGTGAACTCAATAGCTGTTCATGCTCTCCACATTTATGTGTTCTACCTGTGTGTCTGCACACATTGTGAAGTTCTCACAGTCGTGACTGTTTACTGCTGGATGCTTTGTCGTGTATCTCCCAACAAGAACAGGTCCCACGGGACCACAGTCCTGTTGTCACACCGCCGTCACCCACACCCCCAAGGCATGGTTTTCCTGCCGGGGTTCGCTTTTCCTTCTCTCACGACCCTGATGTTTTGAAGCGCCCAGGCCAGCTGCTCTGCGGAGGCTGTCACGGCCTGGGCGTTCTGTTTCTCACTGCTCATCTCAGGCTGCATTTCTCCCCAGAATGCCATGAAGGCGGAGCTGTGCATGCATTTACTTCTCAACCAAACCGTGCAGGCTGGTTAGGGAGATGCAGACGCAGGTGGGCTGGGTGCTGTGCTTCCTGTGGGAGGGTGTAGTCCGGGGACACTGGACTGAGGCACTCTCTGTCACGTGCTCGGCTTGGCCCCAGACTGAGGCTTAGCAGTCCTCCAGTTCATCATATGAAGGGCAGGAGAGGCTGGCAGTAGGGCATAGAAACCAAAACCCCAGCTTCCACACAAGGCCACACATGCAGCGCCAAGGCCGCGCCGGGCTGAACCCCTGTGCCGACGCCCCTGGAGAGCGGCCAGGGGGCTGGGCCTGCCCTCATTCACTAAGATGATGAATGTGGCCATCTGCCTGACTCAGCCTCGTATCTCCATGATATGTTAACGTATTGGCTTAAAACAACAAATTTCCTTTAACATTTTAAATGAGGTAAAGAAACAAAAGTGGGCCAGGTGCAGTGGCTCGTGCCCATAATCCCAGCACCTTGGGAGGCCGATGTGGGGGGACTGCTTGAGGTCAGGAGTTCAAGACCAGCCTGACCAACATGGAGAAACCCCATCTCTACTAAAAATACAAAAATGGTGGGGGGCTGTAATCCCATCTACTCAGGAGGCTGAGGCAGGAGAATGGCTTGAACCCAGAAGGCGGAGGTTGCAATGAGCTGAGATCGCACCACCGCATTCCAGCCTGGGTGACAGAATGAGATTCCATCTAAAAAAAAAGGAAAGAAAAGAAACAAAAGCAGTTTTTTTGTTTTTTTTTTTAATAGGGTCTTGCTGTGTCACCCAGCCTGGAGTGCAGTAGTGTGATCTCGGCTCATTGCAACCTCTGCCTCCGGGGCTCAAGCAGTCCCCCTGCCTCAGCCTCTCTGGTAGCTGTGACTATAGGCGTCACCATGCTCAGCTAATTTTTAAAAAAATTTTTGTAGAGATGGAGGTCTCACTATGTTACTCAGGCTGGTCTAGAACTCCTGGACTCAAGCGATTCTCCTAGAAATCTCTAGAACTCCTGGGCTCAAGCGATTCTGTTTCCCAACTAGCTGGGGTTACAGGTGTGAGCCACCATGCCAGCTAAATTTTGTTTTTTATTTAAAAAAATTAATGTTGGTATGATACGGTGGCTCACTTCTGTAATCCCAGCACTTGGGAGGTCGAGGGGGGTGGACTACTTGAGCTCAGGAGTCCAAGACCAGCCTGGCTGACATGGTGAGACCCTGTCTCTGTCTACTAAAGACACAAAAATTAGCTGGTGGTGGGGGCGTGCACCTGTAATCTAAGCTACTCAGGAGGCTGAGGCAGGAGAATCGCTTAAAAACCCAGGAGGCAGAAGTTGCAGTGAGCAGAGATCATACCACTGCACTCCAGCATGGGGCGACAGAGTGAGACTCCGTCTCAAAAAAAAAAAAAGAGGAATGTTCTCCAGCCTGGTTGTTTATTTTTTCCCTCCTCTTTTGGTATTTCGGAAACTCAGCCTGCTGCAGTATCCTGACAGTCTTTGAAATAATTGTGCACACTGGTTTTAATCGTGAACCTGTCTGAATCTCCATTCTTTTTAATATATAATTTTTTTTGAGACAGGCTCTTGCTCTGTCTCCCAACCTGGAGTGCAGTGATACGATCTCGGCTCACTGCAACCTTGCTCCTCCGGGCTCAAGCGATTCTTCTACCTCAGCCTCCTGAGTAGCTGGTACTACAGGCGCACACCACCATACCCAGCTAATTTTTGTGTTTTTAGTAGAGACGGGGTTTCACCATGTTGGCCAGGCTGGTCTCGAACTCCTGACCTCAGTGATCTGCCCACCTCGGCCTCCCAAAGTGCTGGGATTACAGGCCTGAGTCACTACACCACACCATTCTAGATTTTCTCTGAAACGTAACATTCTGCTTGAAGAAGGGCTCATATATAAGGGTACTGAAACAAACGTTGTTGGATATGACAAGAGTGCTTGAGGGTCAGTACATACACATTTCGTGTCCCAATTTCCCAAACGTAGCAATCAATATGTCTGCAGGTGCTGCAGATCACTCTGCTGGAGTTCATTCTGAGGCTGTCTTTGAGGACCCCTGCCAGGAGACGTGCTCTGGAAGTGACTGTCACAGATGCATGACGCAGTCCCCCAGATGAGGCAAGGCCTGAGGGTCTGCGCTTGGGGAAGGTTTATTACCCCTTCTCCCAAGTAAACAGACAAAAAGCAATCCCTAGAGCAGCACTGGTGCGTGCGCTGGACACCTCTGCAGGGGTCTGTGTGGCTCTGCCGTCATTTCAGTTAGAGTTGAGTGTACAACAGGTTTTCATGTATGAGCTTTATAAAACCTAAGTCTGCTTTCTACTCAGTAAACATTTAGACATTTTTCTTTTCACAGGACTCTCCAGTTACTGAGATTTTGTTTGCTGTCAGATCCACACAAGCCTCCTGTTTCTGGTGAAGACATTATGGACTTAGAGCTTTCTTTCTTTCCACAAACATTTTGGCATTGTCATTTTTGCCTTAGTTTATACAATGTTTTTGTAAGCCCTGGATTTAGTCTTCACATGGATACCTCCGGTGACTTAATTCTACTTCCATTTTTGGTTAGCAGTGGTGACTGACATTTCCTATCGACAGACTACTTCTGAAGCCTGGTTCCGTGTGCTGCCTTCAGCAAGTGGTACACAGAACAGCACTAACGATGAGAAGGGCTTTTTGTTCCTTTCTGTCAAATTCAAAGGCTAATATGGAGGGGTTTTTATGAGTTTATTTATGATCATTGGCTCAATAGCCCTACGCTGTGATACCACGTTCTTTGTTACAGAAATCGAAGAGACAGTAGAGAGATCCTTATTTTAAAATCAGTGTGATGTAAGTCAATGCACATTTATACTTCCTGTAATTTTTGTCTTCTAATAGCAAATACATATGGGGCTTCCTGTACCTGGAGATGTGAATTCCATGAAAATGGAAGCATTTAGGAGGCAGTGAACACTGGCTCCCACAGGTAGGTAGCAGTTACCCAGCATGACGCCAGCTTGCAGACAAAAAGGAAACTGTGCAAGCCTTCTAGCAGTGTATTTCCCAACGTTTTTCATTTTGACTAAGTCAACAAATATGTGCCGAATGGCTTCTGTGGGCTCACGGGTCGCTGCTGCGCCTCCTCTCACCTCTGGCTTTGAGAGAAGTGATTTTACACTCAGCTGTCGTTTTGCCCAGTTAGTGCCTTGGGCTGGAGGCATGGGAGACAGTCCTCGGTAGGCCACGACCCTCATGGAGCGGCATGGCCTGGGCCTCAGCTCTTTGCCCAGGAGCTTCCCCAGGCCGGTCAGACTCTGGCATGTGAGTGTCCCCACACTCACTGTCCAGCCACACCCCTCCTCCCACCATGGCCGGATCCCTGGGAGTAGGCCACTCAGCAGTGGGCATGGACTCAGAGCAAAGCAAGATGGGTGCCTCAAGAGCTTGATTCCCATTCCCACTAAGAAATCTAGCATCCGCCTTTCCCTCTCCTGGGACCTTCCGCGTCTCCAGTGTCTCTCATTCCACACTCCATGTCTGTGTAGACATGGAGTTAGCGCCTGCTTACGGGTGAGAATGTGCGCTGTTTGTCTTCCTGCATCTGAGTTGTTTCACTTAGGATGATGGCCTCTGTTTCCATGCACGTTGTGTCTGAGTTGTTTCACTTAGGATGATGGCCTCTGTTTCCATGCACGTTGCTGCAAAGGACACAGTTTCATTCTTTCTTGTGGCTGGATGGTATTCCATTGTGTATACGCACCACATCTTTATCCAGTTGCCTGTGGATGGGTGCGTAGGTTGATTCTGTGTCTTTACTGTTGTGAATTGTGTCACAGTAAACATGCAAGTGAGGAGATCACTTCAATAGACTGATTTCTTCCCCTTTGGATACACACCTAGGAGTGGGACTGCTGGATTGGATGGTAGTTCTGTTTTTAGTTTTTGGGGAGAACCTCCATTCTATTTTCCAGAGAGGCTATGCTAATTTATATTTCTGCCAACACGTCCTTGCCAGCATCTGTGGTTTTTTGCCTTTAATTTTTGGAAGTTTGCATTGCTAATAGAATATACTGTAGTTTTTATTTATTTTTTTTTTTTTGAGGCAAAGTCTTGCTCTGTTGCCAAGCTGGAGTGCAGTGGCGCAATCTTGGCTCACTGCAACCTCCCTCCCCCGGGTTCAAGCGATTCTCCTGCCTGAGCCTCCTGAGTAGCTGGGATTACAGGCGCCTGCCACCACACCCAGTTTTTATATATATATACATACATATATATATATATATATATGTATATATATGTGTATATGTATATATATAGTATTTTAGTAGAGGCAGTTTCACTATGTTGGCCAGGATGGTCTTGATCTCTTGACCTCGTGATCCGCCCGCGTCGGCCTCCCAAAGTGCCGGGATTACAGGTGTGCGCCACCGCGCCCGGCCTAGAATATGCCGCAGTTTTAAGGAAAACACATCGGAAAATTCCGGTATTCGCGAATGTCTAGTGCGCATCAGTCTGTGCCTGGAGAGCGGGGACCGGGTCCACGATGACGAGGCACACCGACGCGCTCCTTCAGCAGACAGTGACCGAGACGCGCGCGTGGGGAGGCCGAGCCGCAGAGACGCGTGGCCGCCAGCCCCTGCCTCGCCCGGGCCATCTCCGACCGCTCCCTTCTCTTCATTCAGGTCTCGGCCCCACGCCCACCTGGGAGGGGCCTTTGCCCCAGCGCCCGCCCCGCGCCGTCCTCAGAGCGCCCACTCCGTCAAGCCGCCCGTGTCTGGGGCTCCCCGGGCAGGCAGGGCCTGGCGTGCCCCGCGCTGCGCTCTGCCCTCGGGACAGAGCTGGTCAGGGAAGGCGGTCCGTGTCCTCGAGGCAGAGGCGCCTCGCAGACGGCGCTGAGGCGGAGGAGCCGCAGCTGCTGGAACAGACCGGGCGCTTCTGACCGCGCCGCTGGAGCAGGGCTGGTGGCAGAGGCTGCGCCAGGTCTACGCCCCGAGGCAGGTGGTCGGCGAGGCCTTCAGGCCGCAGCTGCCGCGCCAGGTGTGAGTCGGGGGCTTTGTAGCTGCGGGGTGGGCAGGTGGGCGGAGGAGGAACAGCCGCCGGCCAGGGCAGAGGCGGGCGGGCGCCCTCCAATCACAGGCATCGCGGAGGCAGGACCCTCCAATCACAGGCATCACAGGGGCGGGCGCCCTCCAATCACAGGCATCAAAGAGGCGGGCGCCCTCCAATCACAGGCATCGCAGAGGCAGGACCCTCCAATCACAGGCATCAAAGAGGCGGGCGCCCTCCAATCACAGTCATTGTGGAGGCAGGACCCTCCAATCACAGGCATCACAGGGGCGGGCACCCTCCAATCACAGGCATCGCGGAGGCAGGACCCTCCAATCACAGGCATCACAGGGGCGGGCACCCTCCAATCACAGGCATCGTGGAGGCAGGACCCTCCAATCACAGGCATCGAAGAGGCGGGCGCCCTCCAATCACAGTCATTGTGGAGGCAGGACCCGCCAATCACAGGAATCACAGGGGCGGGCGCCCTCCAATCACAGGCATCGCAGAGGCGGGACCCTCCAGTCACAGCCATCGCGGAGGCGGGGCACCCAGAAAGGGTCAGTTTCAAAATAGAATTTTCTGAGGATGACGTCAAAGCAGAACCGAAATGTGCGGTCCGGCCTTTGGTTTCCCACCCGACCTGCCTTTCGGCTTTGGCGCGTGGGACGCGGCAGCCGCCGTCCTGGGGGTCCCGGGATGTGCAGGCTACGTCGTGTCTCATCAGTGGGACGCGTCCCTCGGGTTCGCGCCCTCTTTCTGCAGTTCTAGAACTCTGAAAGCCCCGACAGCGAAGGGTGTTGCCCGCTCAGTGGCAAAGACTCATCTTGCAGCAAACCTGACCCACGCGGAGGCAGGTGAGCCCCGCGGTCCCCGCAGGGGAGGTGAGCGTGTCTGGGTGCCACTGCTGTGCAAGCTCCAGCGTGTTTGGTCACGGGTGCCAGACTCCGCCTCGACACTTTCTCCATGCTTACCTGACTTCTGTTTTTACCTCACTTCTCTGAAATAGTCTGAATTCCAAGCCCTGTGTGGCCCTAAGGATTTTGGATCAGGGATTATGTATCTACAATATAAATAAGCCGTATTATTTACAATGATGAGTTCCTGAATCTTCCTTTTTTTTTTTTTATTCGGAGCCTCACAGTGTCACCCAGCCTGGAGTGCAACGGTGCGATCTTGGCTCACTGCAACCTCAGGCTCCTGGATTCAATTGATTCTCCTGCCTCAGCCTTCTGAGTAGCTGGGATTATAGGCACCCACCACCATGCCTGGCAAGTTTTTAGATTTTTAAGAGAGACGGGGTTTCTCCATGTTGGCCAGGCTCATCTTGAACTCCTGACCTCAGGTGATGTGCCTGCCTCGGTCTCCCAAAGGACTGGGATTACAGGCGTCGGCCACCACACCCAGCCATAATATTCACTTTTAAATGTGGGTGTATATTCAGGTCACTTGGGATTTTATATTTAGAAGTTCTGTCGGTTTAAATATGAACCTGTATCTGTTGTTACAGTGGTAGAAGGCTGTAGCACAATGTGTGATTATTATGAAAGCTGTTAATTTTGTGCACATAAATAATTGTTAAGAACTTTCTAATAAAATACAGAAATAGATGAACAGTTGATACAAATGTAAAGAGGGACTACATGGCTCCTAAAACATGGAAGTGATCATATCAAGTGTGGGGGCAAGATTAGGTTAGAGGCAAATTCTGGCCTCTGTGCTGGGATGGACTGGCACTGACCGCATCGTCATCTGCAAGGACAGTGTTTAATTCTGTCGCTGACAAGTCTTTTAAGAAAAAGTACTAGTTTGGAAATTTTTCACAGATGCCCCCTACATTTAAAATATTATTTTAAAAATAAAATGTGAGATTTATTCCTTTGTCACACAGTTTATCCTGTCGAAGGTTATATTGGCTTTGGCTAAGCAGAGATTTTGACACACAGGCATCCAGCTGACATGTGGCTTGGGGCACCCCTAAGATGTGAGTTTGTGCTGTATAAGGAAAACATTTTAAACATCCGCTTTATATCCTTTATCTTTCACATTTAATGGCTAAATTTAAAATACATATATTGGGTGCAGTGGCTCATTCCTATAGTCCCAGAGCTTTGGGAGGCTAAGGTGGGAGGATTGCTTGTGACCATCTATCCATCCATTTGCCCAGCCACGCACTCATCCATCTATCTACCTACCTGTCTGTCCATCCAGCCATCCATTCACCCACATACCCGTCCAGCTGTTATCTTCCCTCTAGTCATCTAATCACCCACCCATCCACCTACCTACCTACCATGTGTCTATCTACCCACCCATCCATCCATCCACCCATCCATCCACCCATCTACCCACCCATCCACCCACCCACCCATCTACCCATCCATCCATCCACCCATCCACCCACCCATCCACCCATCCATCCATCCATCCACCCATCCACCCATCCATCTATCCATCCACCCATCTACCCACCTACCCATCTACCCATCCATCTATCCATCCACCCATCCACCCACCCATCCACCTATCCACCTACCATTTGTCCATCCACCCACCCACCCATCTGTACATCTATCTACCCATCCGTTCACCCACCCACCCACCCATCCATATATTCATCCATCTATCCACCCATCTACCCATCTGTATAACCATCCATTCATCCATTCATCTACCCACTCACCCATCCATATATTCATCCATTCATCCACCCACCCATATAACCATCCAATCATCCATCCACCCACCCACCCATCCATATAGTCACCCATCTATCCATCCACCTATCCACCCACCTACTCACCCACCCAGCCATCCCATCCACCCAGCCATCCCATCCATCCATTCATCCATCCACCCATCTATCCAGCCATCCATCTATCAACTTACTCATCCGTTTATCCATCCACTTAGCCATCCATCTACCCATCCACTTGTCTATCCATCCATCCAGCCAGCCAGCCATCCATCCAGCCATCTATTTTCAATCACCTACTATAAATGGAAAGCCAACACATGCCCCTAGGAACTCATAGTCCTGGTGGTGAGTATCAGAAAGCATAGAAAGAGTGCCTGATCCTGGGA